AAATTAAGGCTTAAATAATTTGTTTATACCTTTGTGAGATTTTAATTTTAATCTCTTTAATTTTTTTTTTGTTTAGTTTCTAATTGTTTTAAATTGGACAATTTTCATCTTTAATGATAAGATAATTTTATAAAAAATATTTTCAGTAACAACTTCTTAATTAGTCACATTATCATTAGAAAAAAATAATGAATTTAAAAATTATAAAATAAAATAAAAAATAAAATAAAAATTTTACAAAATATTATGACGAAATGCATATTTAAGTAAATTAAAATTTATGCAACATCAGAGTCGTTCTATTTTTAATTTTTTGGTCCAATCATCAGACTCGTATTTGAAGTGGTGAACACTAAGGGGTACACACATTCATCAAGGAGGTACTACTCGAATTTTATTTTATTTTTTGTCATGGTGCTACTGGATTTGCAATAAACATTGAGAATATGTTTGTGTTTTGGGCTGCTCACAAAGGCCTGTCAGACGCAACGATAGGATTGGATAAGGTTACATGCTTGACTGGGTTATTTATTGTTCTGAATTATGAAATTAAAAAGCATTTAATTACCATAAAAAAGAAATTAAATTTATTTATTAAAAATAAAAAATTTTCATTTAAGCAAATTTAGATTCATTTAAAATATTTAAATTTGCTTAATTTAGAAAATTTCAATTTCGATGATATGTGTTGATTTCTTGGGCTTTAATATGCATTAATTAATACTTGTTGATCATTATAAAATTACTTATTTATTTCATAAACTCACTTAAGAAAAAATGATTAAGGAGAGGAAAAGAGATATTTTTTTCACTTCTAACAGATTTTTAATAATACAATAGTCGTGCAGAAGAGTTGCCTTTTATAGGCTTAAGTTTATAATATAATAATAGTAAAATATTCTTAATCAGAAAGAAAGATAAAAGTTGGACCATGTGAATTGTTTGCAACTTTACTCAATTTGTGGTATTGCTTGATCAATGCCATAGCACAGTTCGGCCCCTATAATTATATTGCTGCAAATTCCAAACTGCCAATGATATCCTATGATATTTTATTGCTTTGGCTTGAATTATTTTTAACTTTAAATGTACATTAATCACTGGCAGTACAATCTTTCTTTTACAACTTGATTTAGTTATTTGACATTTCCTCCCTTAAATCAAGCATGTATTACTCCAAACACTTTTTCCAACTTGTAAAATAACTTTATCTCTAATGACCTGGTGAAATATTCACAATTTGTTCTCCAGAGTATTTGATCTTTATTTACTTTTCTTCAACTAATTCTCAAATTTTATGAAAAATTTGTGAAACTAGATATCAATATACTTAGATCGATTGTGAAATATTAAATTTTTGTACAATACAATTCCAGAATTATTATAAAATATTTATGTGAGAGTATCTCACTTTTGATGTATTGCTTTAAGTATTCTTTTCAACCACATTATCTGAATTGCATAACTAGTTATTACTATGTATTCTACTTTCACGTTGAAAGTGCAACAAGTTGTTTCTTTGAAGATCATGATACTACACAACTACCTAGATGAAATGCGTATCATGACGTGATCTTTCTTATTTATACATCTCCTGCGTAATCATTATCTTTATAGTCAACAAGTTTCACATCATTATTATTAACATACAAAATTCTCTTAGTTAGAGTACTTTTGATATATTTCAAAATTCTTTTGGCTCATTGCAAATGACACATGTGGCTCTTTCATGAATCTACTGAGCAATCCAACTCCAAAAACAATATATGTCCTTGCTGTGGTCAAATATCTAAAACTTCCAATTAAACTATTATAGTAGGTTAGATCCACTTTCTTGCCATCAACTTCCCTTGTTAACTTAAATTTTTCTTCAACTAGTGTGAAAATTGGCTTTAAATTCTCCATCTTGATTTTTTTTTTCAAAATAACATTAACACATATTTCTTTTGAGAAATAAAAATTCCACCATTATGTTAAATGACCCCAATGCAAAAAAAATAAGATATTAGAAACAAATCTATCATTTTAAAATGTCTTGTCATAATCTCCCAGAATTTTGGAATCATTGTAAGATTGTTGCTAGTAAAGATTAGATCATCTACATAAAAGCACACAATAAGAGTATCTTCAGACTCAATAAATTTCAAATATAAAATATGCTCAAATGGACATCTTTGAAAATCATTTTTCACAAAGTAAGAATCAATCTTTTTGTACCAATCCCTTAATGCCTAATTTAAGCCATATAGTGCTTTCTTTAATTTGTAGACTTTTTCTTCATTTCCTTTAATCACATAACCTATAAGCTACTCAACATATATTTCTTCCTCCAAATTACCATTTAGAAAAGTAAACTTGACATTCATTTGATATATTTTTCAATTATTTTGAGTCAAAATAGATATAATCATACGAATTATATCTAATCTTGCAATTTGAGTAAATACATCAAAATAATCAATATCAGACTTTTACTTATACTTTTTTGCCACCAACCTGGCTTTAAAACGGTTAATCTCACCATTAGGTTTGTACTTTGTTTTGTACACATGCTTCACTTCAATCAACTTTTTATTTACCAGCAAATATGTTAGTTTCCATGTTTTGTTCTTCTCAATTGCATGAATCTCAGCATCCATGGTTTTTCTTCGATCACTTGTTGCTTCTTCAAAAATCATTGGCTCACAATCTGCAAATAAAGTAAAAAATCGATATTTTCTTCATTAAATGGGTCATTATCATTACTTACAACATAATCTTTCAATCTGGCTAGTAGTCTTCGTTGTCTATAATCTGTTAGATATTTCAAGCTCATCAAGAGCTACATTTGTTTGTCAATTATGCTCTATATAGTTGTCAGGAATTATCATTGGTATTTGAAGACCAATCTCACATTCCTTCCTCATCAAATGTCACAACACGACCGATAATCATATTCTTTGTCTTCAAATTATAGACTTTGTATGCCTTTAAGTTTGTGCAGTAGCTAATAAACACACATTTCTCTCTTTTATCGTCAAGTTTCTTTCTCAGTTAGTCTGGTACATGAGCATAAGCTATATATCCAAAAACTTTGATATGTCAAATTGATAGTCTTCTTCCACTTCAAGCTTCTTATCACAAACACTTTTAATTGGACATATGTTTAAGATATACATAGTAGTAGCAATAGCTTCAACCTAAATTTTTGGCATTTGCTTAGCTTTCAACATGAATCTCACCATATTCTTTCTTTTAGGAACTCTATTATGCTAAGAAATATATTTAGTTGTTAGTTTATGATGAATTTCATGTTATTCAAAGAAATATGGACAACTAAGACACTCTTGGCCTTTGTCTATTCTCAAGGCTTTAGTTTTGCAACTACTTTGTTTCTCCACAAACATCTTAAATGACTTGAAGACATCACAAGTATCTAATTTCTGCTTTAAGAAATACACCTATGTTTTCTTTTACTAAAATCATAAATAAAGGTAATGAAGTACTTGCTACCACTATGTGTTAAAATATCAACTATGCACAAATTTAAGTGTACAATCTCTAATGACTTCTTTGCCGTCATGATTTTCCTATAAAAAATAATTCTATGTGCTTCTTTCTCAATTAGAAAGTCCCACAGACACTGAAAATATTTACAACAAGTATACCATAAACATATTCTTTTTTGATAGATAATTCAATCAGAAAAAAAAAAAAATGAAAGTTGTTGCCATGACTTCTTCCATGGTTGACAAAATCAAAATTTCTTCCACCTCTTCCTTGGTTAGATTCTCTGAAATTATTATCTCTTCCTTGATTAAATTTTTCACGTGCTTTGCTTCTGAAATTTTCTCAACCTCTATCTTGTAATTCTTTTTCCTCCATTATTGAAATTATCACGACTTCTACTTCCTGCACTTTAACTAGATTTGATTATATTGTTGAGATTCACTTGACTCTTCAAGGTTTCTTCACTTATTTTTTTTTAGATGACTTTAGTGCTTTCCTGCAATTTTGCTACTATCATGGTTTTTATGTCGTGAGACTCAATTATTATAGTCACCACCTTGTTGTTAAGGATGTCTATATTGTTAACAAGATTTGTAATACGTGAAAATATTGTTTCACTAATTCAAATTAGACATTTCATACCTTTCATATTCTCTAAGTAGAGATTGCAGCTTGGACTTATGAATCTTCTTCACTCCTTTGTATGAGAGTTTCAAAATATTGTTTCTTTGGCAGTTTTAGCATTTATAACTTTTCCAAAAATTGAATTGTCAACTATTTGTTGAATTTGTGACAGTGCCAACTAGTCTCTCCTCCTAGTAGTATCATCAGCTCCTTCTGCTATCCCCGTATCAATAAAGCTCTGAATATTGTAATCTATGAAACGAGTGGTCATCAAAGTAATAAAACTATAATTTGTCATCTAATTTGAGACCAGACCATATAATATTATAATTGATGATTATTTCTCTCTCAACAATAGTGTGTAACTATACACAATTATTTGATAGATGTAGCTATACACTGTATTCACTTAAGCGAGCTTCAATTTGCTTTAGTGAATCTAATGGACAATCCTCTACTATGATTAAGTGAGTTGAATTTATTTAAGCAAATCAAAATTGGATGATCTTGTTCCTGGATAAACTAGGTCAAAATCTAACTTCATTCCTCAGACTTATTCTGTACCCCACTTCAAAGACTTCCACCTTCAAAATATTATTAAAATAGGTTAGGATGGATTTATTTTTCCATTTTGTTGTCTGAGTAATATATCTATATAATTCTTGAGATTATAAACACCAACCAATTTAGCTTGTAAAATAAAAGAAAAATTATTAAATATCAATTACTTTAATCCTCATTTTGTAAGTTTCAATTTAAGGATAGATGGCTTCTATTTATTACTATTAAGAACTAAAATTATTGTAAATTTAAGAAATATGATATTTAATATTTTCAGAGATTAAATGAAATAGTATTATCGATTGTTTTATTCTTTCTTTTTTTAAGTTTAAAAGTCATAAATTTTCTCAATGCAAAAAATGTGACCTGCGACAATGATCATTAGGCCTTCCTTTTGAACCATCGGTTAATATATAAACAAAATAAACGGTTCAGAGTTTACGATGCAATGGTAGACCAATTCTTTTAAGGGCTCAATGTAATGTAAGTGTTGCCACCTATTCCGGTTGGACAAATTAACCCTCTTCCACTTCTATTATTTTTGCCAATTGCCATATTAATATTACTCCTTCAGTGTTTGGATCTCATTGCGCAGCATGCGATGCGATGCACATCTCGCGATCCACTAGTGATGCCGTTGCCATCCATTCACATTTTCACACCTTTGGTATTTGGTGGCCGACACCCAACTTAATCATTTTAACTCACATCAACCCTTCATCATTACACCAAGACGTAATAATTCCTACACTGAATACACAAGGGTTAATTATTATCAACAAGACACAGCTTATCCTTTTCTTTACAATAATATTGTCCATCTTATTATTAAAAATTTTCTTTGTGGAAGTCATATTTGGTGGTTGTGTTGTGAGAGAAATCCGAAGCTAACTGACGAAGCTCTTTGGTTAGCGCTGGTGGCCCACAGTAAAATACCCCTGCATTACATAAGCATGATGGTGTTATTAGGCACGAGTAGTAGCACAAAATTTTGTGATAGTTAGTTAAACAACATAAGCACAAAGTGGGCATATTTGGAAAATGTTGGTTAAATTAGAGTGGGAAGTGGCAACTCACCAACGCGGGCTTGTGGATGATTAACCGCAATGCGCTTGTAGACACTGCGCCAATTGGGTTTAGCAAAGTGAGACATGACACGCGTGCCAGAGACAATGTCCACGCCATTCTTAGCATGATTTAGTGATTGCAACATTGCAATAAGAGCAGAGCGAGCATCACCCTCTTCATAGACACTAGTGCAATAGTTGTGGAGCTCAATCACTCCCCTGTGATCCTCTTCAGCTACCTCATTCATAACCCCTTTGAACCAGTCAAAAGAACCTTGCTCTCTGGTCACCCAGTAAAAGTAGGCCCTCCTAGTCTTGTAGTTCGAACCAGTTTTCTTGTGTGGGGATGAAATTGGTGATTTACCACCAAACCCACTTGCTCCCTCCTCTATGGTGGTCCCTTCTTCTTCCTCTTCCATGGCCTTGATGTTGTTCACTATGTCCTTCAGTATACTGATCATTGGGGTGGCTCCAATTCCCAGCCCCACCAGCAAAACCACCTCGTACTGCTTGTAGTCTTGTGCAGGCGCTCCATATGGACCATCAATCAGAACCTTAGGAAAAGTGCTGCATGACATTAATTGAAATCCTCGTATCATTCGTTTGTCACTATGCCATTAAATATTCATTTAGGGAAATGGTATCAAACTAGGGAAGGAGAAAATGACAACATGCACGTCTGATTCTGGACATTTTAAATAGCATTTGGGTTGCGTATTTCTTTTACACTTTCATGAATTCAAAACTAATTAAAATATCTGGGCTGGTGACCGGCTACCACGCTTACAGGCAAGACGAGAAATTTTCAACAAACGTCCTTGTCTCCTTGTCTTATTTTAAAATAATAATAATAATAATAATTTTTGAAGTCCAAATTCCAAATAATAACAACCATTTAAGTTGGCCACTAAGATGATAAAATCTAAGCAAGTGACAAGGTGCGTCGGGAATGTCGGCAACAATCATTATTTAAATTTAATTATTTATAACTTTATCTAATTCGTATTATCAATTTATTAAAAATTATGAGATTTTAATGATTTGTAAACTTCAATCAATTTAAACAATTAATAATAATAAATTTTATTCAAACAATGTCTATTATATGTGTATTAAATATTTTTTATAAAATTTTATTATTATTAGTTGCATAAAGATTAACAAAGTCATATTTATCTTGAATTTTAATCGATTGATAGTGTGAAATTTTTACATTAATAATATATCAAAATTAAACTTTCATGAAAAGACAGAATTTGTGAATGAAGTTCAAACCCAACAACTGGCAACTGCAACGGCCTATGTGGTACTGCTGCAACTTCAATTTGTTTAACACGAAAAAACAGTTTCACGTAATTTTGGTTTACTGTAAATTATTGATTATTGACTTTGAATGGAATAAAGAGAAAGAAAAAATAATAACCACAAAAGGGTCTGTTAACTTTTCCAAACAATATTTTAAATTAAGAAAAATCTAGAGTTTATAATAATTTAATATATTTTTAAAAAATTCTAAAGAAGTTATTTTGAATATTTTTCATAAATTAAAAGCAATATTTTCAAAAATATATACCAGAAAAGCAATTTTTAAAGTTGAAACAAATTCTTCTAAATTATGGGCATGAAAGGCATAAATAATTAATAAAAAATATTACCTCTGATCCTATTTATAAAAAACAAATACTTGATTCATTAATAAAAAGAAGTTAATGTCATAAATTTATATTTTATTTCAGAAATATCCATAGTATTAGGTGGTCAGGTTAGTACCAGGTATATTAAATGAATAAGTGTATCCACTCTTATAAATAAATAAAGGACGAGTGCTTTATTAACATAATTCTAACCATAAATAAGGATGAAAAAAAAACTTAACAATTAATACATTTGAAAATTAATTTTTATTTTCTATATTTAGGACAAAAAATTGATAATGGTTTTTTGTAAATAAGATTAAAGGTAGTAACTTATAACTGTCATGAGCAATTTTCAGCTTATTTTAATAAAGTTCTTAATATAGTTTATCAAAATAAATTATTCTTAACTTATTTTATTATTAAATTTGTAATATAAATTATTATTTAAAAATTTATTAAATAAACACAATGTGATTCCAAATGTTACTCTTCGTAAATTATGTGAAATGCATTTCATATCCAACATACGACTCATCCAAACACATGCTACACTCGATTTGTGAAGTGCTAAATATTTTTTTTGCAGGACTGTCAATCACATTTTATTTTTCTTTTCAATTTAGATGTGACATTCATTCTAATTCTTAAATTGATTAGACTTAGAACTAACTCATTTTCAAAAGTTAACTCGTAAGATCAACATCTTAACATTAAATTTCCTATGTTAAACGTGACTTACCTTGGACTGCCATCTCCTTGCAAGTATTCAGCTCTTAAAAGTCCACTCTTCCCGTTGTTGGGTGGCTGACAACACTGAAAGAAACAAACGTTGTTACAACTAATCACAAAAGGAGACCAAGAATTTAAAAGAATATCAGATAGCACTTAGAAATGTAAATAAATAAATAACTGAAAAATAAAAATTTATGTGATATTGCACCCACATAGAAATAAAGGTTACAGTGTAAGGATCAGTGAGTTTTTCTATTTAAATTATTTTCCAAATTCTAAATAACATTACCAACAAAAATTAACCTGAATTCACCTCTGAGAACTTGACTCGGAGACTCCGGGTCCAATCACCAAGTGTCCTGATATGAACGCTAAGGTAAGCATCACCAGGGGACGAGGTTATAGAAAATGGATGCCTGTGAAAGCATAAACATAAATTTTAAATAAAAAATATATATGAACTTTGATAGAAATCAAGGACAGGCTATATGAAGGTATTTAGATTCAACATTAGATATAGAAGACAACAGTTGCCGGTGTTTCTTAAAATTCATACCATTCAAATGGAGACACGGCAGAACAATTGAGAAACATGTATTGTCCACTCTTGTATCTAAATCCCTGAGGCTTTGACATATGAAGACTCAGCACATTTCCAGGATAAACAGCCACCTTCAAATTGGGCAGTGAAAACGTGATGAGAAATACATTTCAATGATATTTTTATGTAACATACTTTATAAGCCCAAAAATATTTTATGTTTTGTCACATAATGAGTTTAATTATTCCATGCTCACCTTTAATATTCTCACAGCCTTGATGCTTGATCTGAGTGCTCTAGTCAATCTTTCCAATACATAAATGATGATGGGAATAGCCAAATACATCCACGTCTACAAAACACATTTAAGTTCCCCCAATATAAATTAGATAAAAAAAAACTATATAAAAAGGGAAAAATGGTTAGTTAACTGAAGTAAGGTGCTAACCGTTTTCTTGTACCATTCCTGGGTCAAGTATAGTTTGATTCCATGCACAATCAGAAGAGCATAGACAAAGACAAATAGATGATGTGAGTACCAAAAGGCATTGAAACCAGTGAGATTGTTGAAGGGTTTGGGTAGCTTGACCCGGCCTCTCCTGAACCAAGGGCTAGCCAGTGTGAAGGCTATTGCCATCAGAACAACCATTATAATCCCTGTCACTCCTTCCCATGATTTGACAAAATGCCAATAATTTGATGGTTGATCTCCAAAAAAAGGTTTCATTAGCTTGTACTTTTCACTACTTGCATGAAGAAGGCGAGGAAAGTCACAAGCTAGGTGATAAATAGCATGTATACCAACGCCAATTGCTATTGCCACAGCTATCACCTGCAAAATATACCCTCATGTGCTTACTACTACAAACTTTTGTACCATATTGTCTTGTGAGAACTATGATGTCCCAACAAACATTTAAACAAAGTAGATATGTTTTCTCTTCTAATCACTCTCAAGTGAACAAACGGCAGAAAAAATTACCTTGTGGAAGTTGAGGTTGTCATCAAAAGGAACCATAATGCCAAGCTTGGTCTTATTCCTGACCCAGGTGATGGTGTTTCGACAAACAGGCAACAAGATAATAGCCATGTTCAATTTAAGTGTCTCAGCTGCACCTTTGGCCATACATACACAATGCCCCATTACCTCATACGCAGCTTTTCTCCGATACTGCACAAATTTGTAGGCAAATAGACCTGACATCACACCAATCCACAGTACCAATACCCAAGTTCTCTGCCAATTGTCCTGCAGGAAGTATTTGGTATCTCTATACCATCTCCTAATCGGATTGTCTTCATACGTAGGCTTAAGCTTTAAGCTTAGCAATTGGCTCAGGTACTTACTATCTCCTCTTGTAGAATGACTTGGTCCATGCAACAAGAGCATCTCTAAGTCATTTACCTGTTTTCCCAGCAATAATCATCAAATGGCCAAAGCAATGTGGCCAAGATGAGAATGTATAATAATAGTGAATGTATTTTGATTCCTATCTTGGGATTATGAAATAGGCTTTATCCTTTATGTAATTACCATGATAAATCCTGTGTCATCAGGGTCCAGTTCTTCCATGATCAAAGCCGCATATTCCTCTGCCTGCTTCTGTATGTTTGAGAGTTTGTTGGTCGTGGCGCTAAGGCAGATAATCTGAAAACAGAATAGATCAGGCAAGATTAAGGACAATCCTATTCTAATGGAAACAAAATGCAAACCAGAAAAAGTTGCCCACAAAACTACTTCAATAATTTTGTCAGTTGATGGGACTAAATAGTAAATTCTGATTCCACATTGGTGAATTTATGATGCCATACCTCATTAATTTCTTCCTCAGTGATTCTTCCATCCGCATCTTTATCAACCCTGCATTCCAAATTAAGGTTGGTAATATAATTGAGAACATTCCACAAGTACCTATTTCAATTTATACATTATAAAACATCAGAAAAGCAAAGAATTACATGTCAAAGAATGTTCTAAGCCTAGAATCAAAACTCTGGTCAGAAATCTGGTCCCAGAAGTCCTTCAACTGGGTCTTGTTAATATAATCCCCACGAATATCCCTCCTCCGAGAAAGAGCATCAAAAAGCTCCCCAGCAAAGGCTTCAGACTCCTTGTTCATGCCTAGAATTAAATCCAAACGTATATTTAGAAACTATTTTATACCTTAAAATAACATTTCATTAAAGTCCTTGTGTTGTGAAACTGAAATACCTATGCATTTGGCAAAGAGAGAACGATGAAGATACCCATCAGTGGAAGCAGTAAGAGCATCAAAGTGCTTCTCAACCTCAACCCAGCCAACACCGCCATCATTCTTGCTTATAAACTTGAGTCCCTTGAGAGCATGAGATGCTGCAGATTTGGTCCTATCAAAGTGCACCTTCGCCGGTGCTCCTTCTTTGGAAAATGAAGTGAAACGCTTCAACTCCTGAGAAACCTGCTTCATGCGAATGGACGCACTCCGCACAACTGAAGCACCAAAGGACCTCTTCTTCTCGATGCCTTTGCCAAGCAAATCCACTGTCTCATCTTCCCTGTGATCATCATCAATGGTCCCTGCAACGGCTTTAACACTGCGTAAAGCAACGGATTCACCTTGAATATCCATAGTGACTTCAACGTAGTCCTCTTCATCATCATTGGTGTGGGGAAGATCTATGGCTGAGGAGGAGGGGGAAGGATTGAACTTGGCACTTCTTTTGCCAATCCTTTTGTTCAAAGGTCCACTGTGCGATACTCTTTCAGCACCAATGAGTTCTATGTGGTGGAAATCTGCAGAAACCCCTCCAACTTCGTCTGTTCCCATTATCTGTTTGTGTCAGTTTGAGGTTCTGATGATGCAAATTTCAAATTATTTTCTGAGATTCCCAAGATCCTTGCCCATGTCTGTCTCTTGAGACCCGTACCAGTTCTTCTATATCTCTTTATTCATTTTATTTTTAATATAAAATACGTATTAAATTATATATATACATAAAAATATAATTATTTTATTTTTATATTGTATTTTTAATTGATTTTTTAACGTGCTAGTTTTTTAAAATATATGTATTATTATTGTTATTTTTATTACAAACTTTTAAGCACATGTTTAAAGTTCGTTTTTCAGTAAAGATGTAGCAAATTGTTGTATTTTTAATATTATTTTTACTTTGATAATGATTGGCTATTTAGTCTTTTGATGCCTGGCCAAAAAAATATTCATAAAAACACTCCCTGTTTTTTATCTATTACTTTTAAAATAATAATACAAAAATTAAAACATAATTTATATTTTTATAAATTTAATTGAATAACATTATAAATCATTTAATTATAAATTATTAATTTTTAAAATAATTAATTTAAAATTAAATTTTTTATTTATATTAAAATTATTATTAATTTTTTAATATAATATTTATTATTTATCTTTTCATATATGATAAGGTATATAAAGTATTTGAAAATAATAAAAATAAAGACATAATTAAAAATATTATTTTAAATTTTAAAATAAATAGTATTTTAAAAGGTAAAATTATATATATAAAAATAAAGGTAATAGAATGTTTCTTGTTTTCAGTTGTAGAGTGGTGTTCAAGAAAGTTAATTTTTCAAGGGAAAAATGATAATAACACTTTATTTATGTTGCAATGTAGTTGTAATATATGCTACAGTTAAAAAGCAGGGGCATAGCAATTCAACAAACATGAACGAGAGATTATATAGAAAAAGAATTTAAGAAATTGTAAGCATATTGCTTTAAATTTTATTTGACAATGAATGTGATCTCTTCTTAAATAGACGCCAACTATTAAGTGAAAATGGGCATGAGATTTTGGTCAAGGTAAGGCTGGAGACAAATGAGAGAAAATCACAAAACTACTCTTCAATGATTTCTCTTAAAGTATATACAAATCAAGGAAAATTCTTGTAAAGCGAATGATAGATACTTATATTTATATTCAACTATATTTTCAAATATATATGATATTTTAATTAATTTAAGTTTAAAGTTAAATAATAATTTTTTAATGAGTATATAAGGACAAATGAAGAATTTATGAATGATATATTTTGTTTAAGAATAAACAAATGCCATAAGTTTTGATAAAAATTATTATTTATGAATTTTTATCATGTGCTTCTGAATATATGTAAAAGATATTTAAATAATTAACCTAATTAAAATATTGGATTAAACAGTAATGATATCGATAAATTCGTCTCCGGAGCACCTCACCTAATTCCGCGTGAACCTTTTTATTATTATTATTTTTTGTTCAAACTCATTCCCTCATTCGCCACTTGGATCTAAACGTAAGCACTGAAGAATTAATATAAACTACTGGTTTTTGAAAAGGAAAAAAAAGAAAAAAGTACTATTATACCAATATTTTCTTTTGGAAAATATTGTAAATTAAGGCATAAACATGTTATTGATATATTATTATTGAAATTTTTAATTTATATTTAATATTATTTTAATAAATTTTTATTAAAAAATATACTATTTAATGTTACCAATGCACTAGATTCTATAAAATTTACAATTTTTGTTTTGTAGTTTCTTTTATGAAATCAGGAAAGATCACAGTTCGATGTACTTTGCTCATTTATAAAGATATGTACTTCGTAGATTTATTTACCAAGTAATTTAATCATTGAATATATTCTTATTTATAATGCCCTTAACGTTGAAATAATGATAGACCAGATAGATTTATTAACTGAGTTGCTGTGTTGCAGATATTTTAGTCATTTGTAATTTCCATTATTGTTTATTTTTATAGTTAATACATTTAATAGAGCCCATTTAATTAGTATAGTTATGAGACAAATATTTATGATCAAAAATGATAAATATGTAGAGCCTTCTCCAAATGAAAATTCATTCAAGTTTTCAAACTGCAACTAAAACTTATTTAATATCATAGTTTATTTCTTTTTAGACTAATTAATATGAAGCAGCATTTTGCATAAGAATGATAATTTTTTAGATTTATTAAAAAATAAACTATTAAGTAACATGAAACGCTCAAATTATTTATACTTCTTTCACGTAATATGAAAATTTTAATTTTTTTGTCAAATGAATGGCCGTAATTCAATGCGTTGCCTTTGCAATTTGATTTGCATTTGACTTTTTGTTTAGCACTTTAGGCAAACATAGTGAGAAACAATTAATTAAGAAGAGTCAAGTCGCACGATTGACATTCGAATGTGAATGCGAAATAATTGTGGGCATATCTACCCCACTTCCTTTTTGGTTCATAAAAAAATTATATAAAAGGAATAAATTTAATTTTTATATATTTAGTTATTTTCAAAATAAATTCTCACCTATGTTTACTTGACATCCTTACATCACCAAAAAAAATATGTTGAATTTGCATGCCTACATGCCAAAATAAAATAAAAGGTTGATAATAATAAAATAAGCATCTTAAAGTCATGTTGTTAATCATACACACACACAGTCTAATACGTTAAATATCTATAATTAAGAATAAAATTAAAAAATTATTATTCTAATTTTAAAAATATTTAATGATTTATATAAATTATAATTAGTTAAAAATATAATTTTCAAATTTTAAGTTTTGATTTAATAAAAAGCTGTTATTTTATATTTATCAATTAGTTTAACATTATTATTATTATTATTATTAAATGTTTTAAATTTAATCAATTAACTTATTATTTTTTAACTGACGTATAGCATACACTTTTAAAATGCTAATAATTTGATAAAAGTATATTTATTTAGTAAAGTTAGTTTAATTTAAAAACATGCAATCCTTTAAGCCAATTAGTAATATCTAATGCAATAATTAAGCTTATAAACTCTTAAATTAAAAAAAAAAACCACTTATAAGATCTAAACAATTTTTTCAATTTTATTCTTACTATTTATTCCTCATCATTTTTCCATACTGTTAAACTATTTTTACTTAACTATTTTAATATCTCACTATTTATTTTTATTTTTCTAAAATGTTTTATGTTTTTTATAATTATTCAAAATTATAAAAATAAATACTTTTTTAAATTAATATTATCTAAAAATAAAATTTAAAATATAGAAAATAATATTCATATAATTCAGTTTATTTAATTTTATTAGAATGTGATTTTCATTAAAATGGTAAAAAAAAAACACGTTACAAAATACAAAAGAATTCAAGTAATTGTTATAATTTTCATTGTTTTTTAAGACAATGTATTTTTATGCTTTGAATGATGCAACAAAATTATTAAAATATAATATAAATCCATTTATTTGATCTCATTTCATATTTAAAGTGAAAAGAGAATATATTATTAAAAATATTATCCTAATTTTTAAGATGATAAATTATCTAATTCAATTAAAATATAAAATGTGATAGTTTTTAAAAATAAATATAATTTAAAAGGTGTAAACTATAATTAAGTAATTAAATATATTTTTTGTCACTCTATATTGATCAATTGTTTAAAAATTAATTGTTTAAATACTTCCACTCTAATTAAATTATTTATTAAATTTTTAATTTTCAAATATTGTTTCAATTTCCAGTTAAGTTATCTAGCTAATTTGACAAATACACTTATGTGAAAACAATTTTTGAGACGTGGCGCATTTTGACGTGACTAGAAACACTAATGATACGTTTTTTTTATGGACGTAACACACCACAGTATGACATGTTTTACACTTATGTACGTGAGGCATCTTATATTTACTTTTATCTACACTTTTATTGTTTAAATTAACTATTTTGGTATTTATTTTCAACACTTAACTTCTTCACCTGTAATAATAATAATAATAATAATAACAATAATATAAAATTAAATATTTATTTTATTTTAAAAATATCTTTATTCAAGTTTAATATTTTTTCTTAATTTTACTGCTTGTTATAACTAATATTTTCTTTAACACTCATTGAATTTCTTTGCAATAGTTATTGATCAGTATTTTATTTTAATATTGGTGAACAATATAAAAGTAATTATTATATTCTTTTTATTATAATAAATGACAATTATAATTATACCATAAGCCTTAAATGTTAGTTGTATTTTTTCAATCAAATGCTACCTACAATTTGGTATAAATCAAATCAAACTTACAAACATGAATAAAAACATTATTTCTTCTTTCTTTCTTTTCATTCTTTATATTTCTATCTTAATTTTATTCTCAAATCTCAATTGTTTGGGTATTGCTTGTGAGACTTGATTATATTTTGATTTTAAGTGGACAAATTTAAACAAATTTTTGTGTGTTAATCTTGGGAAGGGGAAAAATCAGATATAAAGTTGCACCATAGATTCGTCATAATTTTACTTTCAAAAAAATGAATATTATCACAATACAACACTCACTTTTTCCATCTAATTTTCTAAATCTAAAAGAAAAACTTTTATATTTTATTGAATTTATATGATTATGTTGTTCCTATGGCCATGCTACTCAACATGAATGCATTGTTTGATAGGACAAGACTCGAATCTCTTGATGGAACCAAATACAAATGATAGTCTCAATGACTACTCATCTTTTTCGAGCAACTAGACTTCAATTACATGTTGTTCAATGAAGCACCAACCATTCCCATTGAAAGAAATGTTGAAATTGTGAAGGATGTGATCAAGGATGCTAAAAATTATGAAAACATCATAAATTGGTACGCAATCATTTCCTTTATCATATGCCCAATAACCTATTTGATTTTTTGTGACAAATAAGTCTTTAAAATCAATTTGGAAAACACTTACTGGGTATCGAAAGTACATCACTGGTAAAAGGTTGACGATAAGTTAATCGTGGAGTATATTCATGAATATGAGAACTTGGTTGCTAATGTGTTAAACAAAGACATGAAAAACGTGTGAGATATTATAAACAAACATTTTACTTGAGAAATTTTCTCTTCTATGAAGTGAGTTTTGAAACTACCTCAAACATAAGAAAATATATTTCACCTTGCAATAACTCACTAGCTACATGAGGACTGAAGATACTAAATGTCTCAGATAAATATAATTCCACTTTTATAAACTTGCCTAATGTGAATTTTGTTAAATCTATTGCCACTTTAGTTAGAGAAAAAGATTCAAAAGCATGCAAGGAAGAAAAATGCACATTAATTTAGAAAGTCTACTTTAACTTTAACTTTATTGTTACTATCATATACTAAATTTGATCTTCTGCATGAATGACTAGGGCATGTTAATATATATAGTATCTATTAAATAATTATGAAATATGAACATGTTGCCTTCTATCAAAGAATCCTCTATTTCTAAATGGATTGTGTGCTTGAATTAATACATTATAATATTGTTAACTTTAAGAATATTATGAATATAAAAGGCAAAATGTATTATTTTATATTTATTAGTAATTATTCTCGTTACACAAAAGTTTATCTCATAAGAACTAAAGATGAAGTTGAGATCATCTTCATTAAGTATAAAGTTAAAGTAGAAAATCAATTGAATTGAAAAATAAAAGGTTAATAGCATATAAAGGTGGTGAATATAACTTAGTCAAACTTAAAAAATACGATAAAAAAATGACATAATACCTGAGTATACTACATCTTACACATCACAGCAAAATGAAACAGTTGAAAGAAACAATAAAATCTTTAAAAATATAATAAATGCTATGATGATTAGCTTTGATATGCTTGATAATTTGTGGAAAAAAGCAATAATAAATACATGTTATATTCTAAATAAGTTCTCTTATAAGAAACTAGATAAAACATCTCATGAAATGCGGAAAAATTATCCTCCTGGTCTTAATCATTTAAAAGTGTGAGGATGTTTGGCTAAAATAGAAGTATCAAATTTAAAGATAACAAATATAGGTGCTAACAAATTTGATATTGTCTTTATTGTCTATGCTCATTAGATATAGATTTATGAGTTCAAATAGCAATTCTATTTTAGAATCTAGAGATGGTCAATTCTTTGAACATGTTTTTTTTTTTTCTAAAGAAATTCAATTCTATATATAATGTGATGCCTTCTTTTGATGTTTCTGCTTCTTTTGTTGCTGTTATTTTTGCTCCTAATCATGTGTTTGAAATAAGAGATCTTGATGAAATAAATGAAGAGTTGGTTTATACATAGATGTTAGAAGAAGATCCCAAAATTTATGAAAAAGCAATAAAGTCAATTGATTCTTATTTTTGGAAAGAAACAGTCAAAAGGGAACTAGATTTCATAATAAGCGACCATACTTAGAAATTAGTAGATTTGTTTAGAATAGTAAACCTATTAATAATAAATAAACTTTTAAAAGAAAATATAGACCAAATCGATCAATAAACAAATTCAAGACTAGACTAGTTATTAAAAACTTTACTAAAACAAAAGGTATAGATTTCTTTGACGTATAAACAAATTAAGAGAGAAAAGAAAATTCTCAAATACAGGAATTTTGGATGCAATCCTTTTCTTTAAAATCATATCAGTGTAATGTAATAAGAAGAAGGATCAATTATAATTATGATTTGGGATTTTGATGAACTTACTGTAATATTCATATGAATTAAATTAAATATAGGAGCTTTATTTACTCATTTTGCATAATTAAAACATAATAACTGTAGAATTAGAGTCCTAGCAAGATATTATATGGATTGGCGCTCACATTTTGTATTATTATGTCGTCAGTTACGTTTCGTTGGTAGTGGCAGCCAGTCAATAATGCTCTTAAGTCACTTAAACAATCAAGTAACTAGCATGTGGCCTTTTAATGAATTTGGATGGATGTGATTTGCTGAAGTAATGTATAATGAGGGTTTATTATAATGCAGTAAGCCTTAAACCAAAAGGTTCAGGGTGATTGTAATCAGTTTTTGCCATCAAAATAAAGCAAGACACTTCACACTGATGTTCTCTCCAGGTTTCTCACCCAGACATATAATTTCATTGTTCCACTTCAATCTTCTGACTCTGTTGACTATTCACCAACACTTCTTCCTTTATTACTACTACTTTGTCAAAGGGAGAGCACTCCTCTTTTTACTGGCTTATTTATACTCGGCAACAGGTTGAAACTCCCCTCGGTCAATTGTCACACTACAGCTGCTGCGTCCTAGCATAGGCAATTGAAGTAAAATCCTTGCCACTATTGCTTGATTTAAAGGATAAAATACTTTCTGAGTAATGGATGGATCTAGATTAATTGCAGCCTGTGAGGGAGGCAATAACTGACCTTCTGAGCAAGAGAGGGAGAAATATGTAGAAGAAGAAATGAGGGACAAGTTCTTGAATGTCTGTCATAAGCCAGAGTCAGGTTGATTTGCCCCAGAGCAATTGAATGTCTGTCATAAGCATTTCAGGCAGAGGGAATATTTGATAAACAAATGTCATGATAAAATGTGAATTACAAAGGCGAGTAGTGGCTTCTAGAGTGATGGTAAATTACTATGGTTTTTGGGTGCCTGAGGTACATAGGTTGCTGGCTGGGCAACTCAGAAATAGTGGAAGATTGCAACATCATGGGTGGAAGTGAAGTAGGGCTTACCCTGAGATATTAGGATTCTGGGGCAAAGGTCATTTAACCACCTGTCTCTGACTGTAATTGGAGCAGAAACTGAAAATTTTTCACCTCCTTGGGTTCGCTCCATTTTAGGCATGGGTGATGACTACTACCAGATTTTAGCCTTAATCGTGATCCTATTTATTTCTTGTTCCCAACACCTTGTTGCTTGAACTCTACCTCTGTTGAGGACAGCAGGAATGGGTGGTCTACAAGTTACAATCTTCTGACCAATAGATTGTGGGCTTTAAGGACACAACTCTCGTTTGCATCATTACCAACACCATTGCTTAGGATAGAGGTTGGATACAGATCCTCTTCCAATTTTTAGCGAATACTTCATGTTTGGCAACAAGCTCTCCAATTTGGGTTATGGTGCTGCTGCAGGTTTTATCATAGGTTAAGACAAAGTCACTTTAAGATTTTCATTGTAGGAAGCCTCATGATTGATAATCTAAATATTGGAAATAAGCAAGTGGGAAAAGGAAGCCTTAAGTACGGTAGACCACTTCCAATCTTTGAAGCTATAGAAAATTGGAAATGACCAGATGAAGATGGAACATATATTGGCTTTGTTGGATGAATGACCCTTTTCCACTAAACCACGTGTTTTTGGATTCTCGGAACGTGTTTTTGTGATTTCAAAATGTCCAAAACGGTAGACCTTTTGCAACCTGCACCTCAAGGACAAAATTAAGTATAACTTGGATATTTCTTATGTTATTTTTTTTAGTTAGGACAGGATTCTTATTTCAGTATTATGTGACGACTTTAAATGCAATTCTTTTTATGCGAAGCTTTAATTTCAATTAAAAAAATAATATTAAAGGTAGATAAGGCTACTTACTTTTGTCCTTTGATTAACTCACCGAAAAGTCACCCTGTGAACTTGTTCATGTCTTTTGCGAAGTAACACAAACTAGTTAGCGGTAGGTTGACGAAGAACAGAAACATAGCATATTTGAAGATATCTGGAGTCAGAGACAATGGGCTTATGGGAAGAAAAATCCCATTATTTGCCCAAGTGAACTCGTGTAATTACTTGACCGGTAAACTTTATCCCCTTAACTAAAAATTGGTCTTTGTCGTAACTCGTAACTTACCGTAAATGATAACACACAGTGAATTTTATTTCTAAACTCTCTTTTCTTTTATATTTATAAAGTTTCTTAAATATTAAATAAAATTATTTTTTCATATTTTAATATGTATTATAAAATATTATTAAAAGAATATAACCAAACAAATTTTATATGAAAAAAAATACTAAATACTGAAATATGAAATTTTAGAAAAAATTACAAAAATATGAAAAAAATAAAAACATGTCAATGAAAATTTTTAGTGTTTAAAATTTTTTTTATAAATTTTTTAAAAAATTCACTAATGACAATATTTAATAATTTAAAAGATTTGTAATTTTTAGATTCATCTCTGTTATCATTAGCGGTTTTGAAAATATTATAATTGCAAATAGCTCAAAAAATTCATATTCCTACATATTATTTTATTAAACCTCTATTTAAAATAATTACCCCAAAACATAATTGATTTGTTCTTGGATAGAATATCATCTCCCTCGACTTGGCAATGCTGAAGATTTATTATTATTATTATTATTATTATTATTAGTATTTGTGAAAAAAGAAAAATAGTTGGTGGCCAAAGGAGAAAAGAGAGTCGTTGGGGGAAGTGGAAGTACACTGACCCTTTTGGCGTTGCTTTCTTGATGGATCCAAGTATTAGCTCTTTCCCAAGTAAGAAAGAAAGAAAAGTTGGCTTTTCCTCTCGGTGACGTGTCGGCCATTCTCACTCCATACCTTCCTTCCCCTTTCTTCTTTCTTCAGACTGAAAACGAAAGTTTAAACCATAAAACAAGGTTCCTTTTTCTTAATCACTGACCAAACCCCGTGATTTTCGTCATACTGTAAAACATTCACGGTTCATGACCTTAACAAGCACAACCTCCAACACCAATTCATTTTTGGCGGCGAGCTCTGAAACCACCTTTCCCTCTCAACGATGCAAGTTTCATCTTCATCAATGAACTCCTCATGGTTTGGAACATTCGCTCCCAACCGATACCCACACGTTCGGTCCCTCCCTTCGGAACCGTGTTCCACCACAGCGGTTGCTGCTACCTCGTACTCACCTTGTACTAACGTTTTATTCTCGCGTCCTGATCCGACACGGTGTAAGATTAATAGTTCTCTCTCCTTTCTGGTGTCTCAAAGAAAAGGTTTTACTTTGACGTCGCTGGCACCAATCGGTGTAGGCAGAAAGACGAAGAGGAGAAGAAGAGCGTTGAGTGTCTCTGCGGTGTTCGAGCGGTTCACGGAAAGAGCAATAAAGGCTATAGTGTTTTCCCAAAGGGAAGCGAAAGCTCTCGGCAGTGAATTGGTTTACTCGCAGCATCTTTTGCTGGGTCTCATAGCCGAGGAGGATCGTTCTCCTGATGGTTTTCTTGCGTCTGGTGTCACCATTGAGAAGGCACGTGATGTTGTCCGCAGCATTTGGCATCAAAATGATTCGAGCTCTGGTGTCCCACGTGATGGTGGTGGTGTTGATGATGATAACAAAACCAGTGCCACCCATGTCCCCTTTTCCATTAGCGCAAAGCGAGTGTTTGAAGCGGCTGTTGAGTATTCCAGGTCTCTGGGACACAAATTCATTGCCCCTGAGCACATTGCCGTTGCTTTAGTCAAAGTAGATGATGGTAGTGCTAGTCGGGTCCTTTACAGGTATAATTGCCTGCCATGGATTGTTGCTGTTTGGCATTTGGGCTGATCATTGGTGGTTTGTTATTGCATATAGATGTGTGTGCGCGTGTGTATGTTTTCTCTAATGCATTTTAGTTTATTGTTTTGAAGTCTTTCTATAAGACACTTATTAGAAGCAAGTCCTAGTTATTTGATGAAAATCCAAATTCAATTTAGACAGCTGGGGGTGCGATTTGCTATTGGGAATTAGATTCTGGATTGGTATATGAATGATCTTTTGTTGTAGCTCTGTATTGAATGTTTCACAATTCCACCGGTTCGACAGCACTGGGAATTTGGTGATGTTGAAAACTTATGCTATGTCCAAAATACCAAGTCATGAAGTGTTTTAAAGGCCTTTTTATTCTGGCCCCATTCCTAGTTTGCAAATATTTAGTAGAATTAGTATTTAAGGAGCTTCACTTTTGCCACAAGTTTCTGTAAATGCATTAGTTGTTTAAAACCCTGCTTAATCAGCAAATTCCAATTTTTATTTTTATTTTTTTGTCTTGTAATGGAGCTATCACTACTGCTAATGATTCCACAATTGAATGTGTGCAGGATCTATGATTAAATTCAAAAAATATATAACTATAACTTTCCACTGATGTTGCTAGCATACAAATATGATTTCAGATTGGGTACAAATGCAAGCCAGTTGGCGGCTGTGGCATTCTCCAGACTACAAAAGGAGCTAGCTAAAGATGGAAGAGAACCAAATATGGTGTCAAAGGGCGTATATAACAAATCTATTTCTAGAAAAGGTTCTGATGCAGGATCCTCTGCCACAACAGGAGGTAAGAAAATGATTTATAAATTTGTTCTTTTATACTTTTATTTTTGAAGGCAGAGAAAAGTTTTTCATAATCCTTCTCTGGGTGTCAGAGGTGAGTGCTCTATCACAATTCTGTGTGGATCTCACTGCTCGTGCAAGTGATGGACTAATTGATCCAGTCATTGGCCGAGAAGTTGAAGTTCAGAGAATTGTTCAAATATTATGCCGAAAAACAAAAAGCAACCCCATTCTTCTGGGTGAAGCTGGCGTTGGAAAAACAGCTATCGCGGAAGGGCTGGCACTTCGCATTGCTCGGGCAGATGTTGCTCCCTTTTTATTGGTATGCTTCTCCATGAGTGACTGATGTTTCTAAAAGTTTTTCTTTTCTGCTCCAACCTTGTGCAATTATGTGTGTTTTATGCATTGCAATAATACCTTCTGCTTTGTGTTTGTGTAGACAAAGCGCGTGATGTCCTTGGATGTAGCCTTGTTGATGGCAGGTGCAAAAGAAAGAGGAGAGCTAGAGGAACGTGTTACAAAATTAATAAAAGACATAATAAAGTCAGGTGAATACATTTCAAGAAATAAGTAAAATAGTCAATTGAATATATGATTGATTTGCTAGAAGATGATCGTTTTAGTTCTGACTGATTATTCTTGAAATGCAGGTGACGTCATTCTCTTCATTGATGAAGTTCATATACTTGTTCAATCAGGGACAATTGGGAGAGGAAATAAGGGGTCTGGCCTTGACATAGCTAATTTACTTAAACCTGCACTTGGAAGGGGTCAATTTCAGGTGATTATTGGTCATGTATTCACAGTTGCTAGTTTCTTTTGTTCTAATGACTCCTGAAGATAAGCACATGTTCAGTTTGACGACTGGTGTAAACATTATTAATAACATATAAGATTAAGGTTAAGGGTCAAAATAAATTGCTACTACTTACTACACAGCTACAGGTGTCGTTGCCATTTTTTCAAACTGATTTACTGAGAAAGGTTAGCAATTAACATCTGGAAACTGCAATACAAGGTTGAGATTAATAAGAAAGATGCCTTTACGAAAATTGGGGGGTGGGGGTTACCATACTTGTGGTTAGACTCAGCCTGCATTATATCATACGTTACCTCAAATAGAGGGCCCACCAAGATCATTTTGAGCTGGAAGAGAGACAAACATTAACTGATATTATCTTGCTTTTTAGTAAGCTATGGAATCAATAAGAAATTCTTGCATTAATGGGGGCAACCTATTACTGAAATGGAGAAAGTAGTATGTTCAATGCTCAAGTCTCTCTTTCCAATTTCCATTAAGCTGGGTCTTGATACTTTTTATCTTAGGTGCACTAGGGATTAATGAAGAACTTCTTGGAGGAGTGCTTTGTAGAAAGGTTAACGGATTAAAAGGTAACAGGATTGGCAGAGTGCATGGACGGGGCTGGTTGATCAGTTTTCACATTTCACTCATTTGTAATGTCATTAGAAAGCTGAGCTTTTTTATCTAACATTCAACTCAGTGAAACCTTTCTGATCACTAACTGTGGACTTGAGTAAACCATCAGAAAGGGAAAAAATCTTTTGATGATCATAATTTAAAACCCACCCCAATTCTGTGATCTATTCTGCTACCTTCAACACTATAGCTAAGGTTATGATTGCTAAAATCTGTTATATTCAATAATGCTAAGGCTATGTTGAGTGGTATGGACAGCATGGTTGCTTTACTTGGTTGATAAGCAATTATATTCAATAATGTTTATTCTGTTAATACTTTTCTTCTTGAGTAGGGGTTCATGATGGGGAGAGAATAGTTCTGAATATAAACTCTCTGGGGGGAAGTGTTAAAAAACTAAGAGCAGAAATATTTCTGCCCACTAATGAATTTTCCTTTATAGTTGGTTATCATTTGTATGGTGCATTTGGAATGTTCTTGATGTTATCATTTCCGTATAAGATGGGGTGATCATTTTTCCCCTTTGCAAAGAATTATATTACAATATGTACTCACCATAACTTGTCTGCTATTCATAGTACAATAACTTTATCTTCTTTGCAGTGTATTGCATCTACCACCATAGATGAATACAGAAGTCATTTTGAAAAAGACAAGGCATTGGCACGACGGTTTCAACCTGTTTGGGTTGATGAGCCGAGTGAGGTCCAAATTCCATATTCATGTCCATATCATTCTGTTAGCATTTTTACCATATTTTGATTTCTTATTGGACTTTATGTTCTAATATATAGGATGACGCAATTGAGATACTTATGGGTCTACGTGAGAAATATGAGGCCCACCACAAATGCAGATATACAGAAGATGCTATCAAGGCTGCAGTTGATTTGTCAGCTAGATACATAGTTGATAGGTATCTACCTGATAAAGCTATTGACCTCATAGATGAAGCAGGAAGTAGAGCTTGTATTCAAGCTTTTAAGATGAAAAAGGAACAAGAAACTGGCATCCTTTCTAAGTGCCCAGCTGATTACTGGCAAGAAATTAGAACTGTTCAGTCTATGCATGAAATGGTAATAGCATTGCTTATTTTATTCTCTGTCTGCATGAGTTGCATACATTTCTATTTTAAGATGACATTTCTTTCCCGCTGGTTCAGGAGAGCAGGCTTAAATACTATGGTGCTTCTAGCATTGATGATACCAATGAACTCATACTGGATTCATATTTATCTTCTACAGCCAATGATAATGAGTATGTTAGGAGACCCAAAATCAGAGGGCATTCATTTTTACATATCTGGGTTTGATTTTGGAGAGGCTAATATAATTTTTTTTTTCTCTTTTTAGACCTATAGTAGTTGGGCCAGATGATATAGCAGCAGTTGCTTCCCTCTGGTCAGGAATTCCTGTTCAAAAGCTCACTGCTGATCAAAGAACTCTTCTGTTAGATCTTGATAATCAACTCCGGAAACGTGTGATTGGACAAGAGGAGGCTGTCACTGCCATTTCTAGAGCTGTGAAGAGGTCTCGGGTTGGTCTTAAGGATCCCGATAGACCCATAGCTGCAATGCTATTCTGTGGCCCAACTGGGGTTGGGAAAACAGAACTTGCAAAATCTTTGGCAGCAAGTTACTTTGGATCGGTAAAAACTTTACAGAGAGTATATGTTATAGCATTAATGATTAGAGAAGTCTTTTCTGTTGTTTTTCATCTTTCTAATGTATGAGGTGCTTACATTGTGGTCAACACGTCACACATAATGTTCATCTTTTTAAATATAGTCTTTTGTGTTATTGTTTCAGGAGGCAGCTATGGTACGATTAGACATGAGTGAATATATGGAACGACATACAGTGAGCAAATTGATAGGATCACCCCCAGGTTATGTCGGATATGGAGAGGGTGGCATTTTAACAGAAGCTATTAGAAGAAAACCATTTACCCTGTTATTGCTTGATGAAATAGAGAAAGCACATCCAGATATATTCAACATTCTTCTTCAAATATTAGAAGATGGACAACTTACTGATTCTCAGGTTTGTGAATGTAGATGTGAACCTTACACTACTAGGACCATTTACAAGCTTTCAGATGCGAAACTTTTTCCTTGAATTTTGATTTCTTTCTTTTCTGCTTCTTTGCCAAGTGAAAGTGAACACTTGTATCAATATAATGTGGACTTAATACTACTGGTGTCCTAAATTTCTGTTTATTGTATGTAAAACTGGCTCTAACAGGGTAGAAGGGTTTCATTTAAAAATGCATTGGTGGTGATGACTTCAAACGTGGGGTCTAGTGCCATTGCCAAGGGTGGCCACAAGTCCATAGGATTCTTGATTTCAGATGAAAAATCAGCATCATACAATGGCTTGAAATCAATGGTAATTGAAGAACTGAGGTCATATTTTCGTCCAGAATTGCTCAACAGGATAGATGAAGTCGTAGTCTTTCAACCCCTTGAAAAGTCACAGGTTCGGCAAGTTTTAGTTATGAATTATATCTCACTAATGATAATCAAATAATTGGCCTAGTATCACTCCAAGCATCTCAAGCACAACTAATTTCTCTACATTTAAGAAACCTGATGATGACTTGGCAAAATCTATTCTATGACTTGAAAGTAATGTATGTTATTCATTTCATTGATGTTATTGTTGTTATTTTTGTTACAGTTGCTCGAGATATTGGATGTGCTGCTGCAAGACATGAAGAAAAGGGTCTTGTCCCTTGGAATTGATGTAAAGGTGTCTGAAGCAGTCAAGAGCCTTGTGTGCCAGCAAGGCTATAACCCAACATATGGTGCTCGGCCTCTCAAGAGGGCCATTACATCACTAATTGAAGACCCATTGAGTGAAGCATTCCTTTCTGGAGAGTGCAAGCAAGGTGACACTGTCCTCATTGATTTGGATGCTAATGGTAACCCCTTTGTCACAAATCAGCTCGATCAGATTGTCAACTTATCTGACACAAGTCATCCCTGTAATTAGCTATTGTACAGTATCCGAATAGGTATACCCATTTACTGAAAAATGTTTTGTGTCGTCTTTGTTAGCTTAGGTATTTGATTCATATGTAATGAGTATACCACGTCATTAACGAGCTTGGTAGCTCATGAGATGTCAAATTTATTAGAACTTTTGTCCCCACACACATTGTATTTAAATTAAATTCATTTATACAGTAACATACTTTTAGCTGACAAATTATTCGTAAACTTTCTTCGGCTTATTCTTCAGTTTTATTTTATTGTGTCTATGAAGTTTCCCATTCTCAGCAATAAATTTATCATTGCATTAGATCACGGTCTTTAATAAAGTCGACTTGTATGATGAAAAAAAATTATAAATATCGTTTTACAATTTAGAGGACTTAAATTTCATCTGCACCCAACACAGTAAATTTTCACTTCAAGTCAGTGTCATAAAACTCAGACTTGATATTCACTTGGTAAAAGTATTGGGGTATAATAATTATTTATTGGATACTAGTTAAAATAAAAAAGGGTTTGGGTACCAACTAGACTAGATTCCACATTTTTTTTTGTCTGAAGTTCATTCATTTCAAATTTATAAATAATGCCTTCAAGTAGGAAATTTTTATTATCAGACATCAATGTATAGACTTAATGGAGTATCTTACTAGTTACAACTTTCTTTAGTTTATAAACTTTCTAAGTCAATAAATAATTTAATAACTTATCAAAAAGCATAAAATTGATGAAATTATCAAATAATTTTTCCTAAAAAAATAACAATATTATTATACAATTTATTTGAAAAGAAAATTTTTCCAAAAAAGAAAAAATGTTAAACGGGTTGTATCTTCCACGGGCCTGACTTGTAACCCGTTCAAGCCCATTTATAATAGCAAAAAAAATCCTCCAACTCTGTAGCACTTGCCATCCAAGATACCGTGTTCGTACGGAATCACCGGAGGAGTACGGTGTGGATTTCTCTCCTCTGCACAAAACTTAGGGTTTTCTTTGGGTTCCACCGCAATCGCACGTCTATTTCCTTCATGGCGACTCCTGATACCTACGACACTGATAAGGAAGAAAAAGACCAAAGGTTATCATCAACAAATGCCGAAAACCTCGCAAATGATCCTTCGCCGGAAAACAAAAACAACCGTAGCGACAAATTAGCGAAATCTGTGAATGAACTCAACGACCTCTCAATCGCCATACAAGTTTTCAAAAACAGGTACGATGAACTGCAGAAGCATCTCGATTTTATTGATCAAGCTATCGATACAAGGACGAAAGAGCTTCAAGCATTAGGGTCCAACACCGTACAGAATGCACAAGGAGCCATTGAAAACTGTACCGTTCAACCGGACGTTAAATCAGGTCCAAATCCGAAACCGAAAACCGAGGCCGAAGGCAAAGAAAAAGAGGAAGAAGAAGAAAACGAGCTTGTTTCGCTTTGCCAAACGATGTGTAGCCGTGGCCTTCGTAAATATGTTCTGTCGCATCTATCTGAAACGGCGTCACTTCGGGAGCAAGTCCCTGTGGCTCTGAAGAGTGCACCAAAACCGTCGAAACTGGTGTTCGAATGCATTGGACGGTTTTTTCTTCAAGGTAGCAAAGCGTACACAAAGGACTCACCCATGATTCCTGCGAGGCAAGCTTCGGTTCTGGTTTTGGAGTACTATTTGATGTCTGGTTGTGTTGATAATGAGGCAGAAGAGGACCCTTCGCTGAAGAAAGAAGCAGACTCAGCCGCGGTTGCGTGGAGGAAGAGACTCGTTGTTGAGGGTGGTTTGGCCAAGGCCTCTGAGGTTGATGCCAGAGGTTTGATTCTTTTCATTGCTTGCTTTGGGATTCCTGTTGTTTTCAGGGACGAGGATATATGCAACTTGGTTCGTGTGAGCAATGCTAGAGAGATTTCGCATGCCATACGCCAGTCTCAGGCCCTGTTTAAGAGGGTTTCAGGTATGTATACATATATGCCAATGTTAAAGATATGTTGTTTCCCTACGGGGGTTAAATTGCTGAAACTGAGGTGTTGTTTTTAGTTGAAAAAGAACATTGAAAGTCAAAATGTTTTTTTTTTTTTTTTTTTAATTGAGTTGCCCAAGCTAATTATGCGGATTCTAACCCTCAAGAGTAGAGTGAGCTTTAACTTCTTTCCTTCGTTCAATGTGGTTTAAATGGATGAGCTCCTTTGTGTGCTTGTTTGAAGAAATATTTTATACTATGTGAGACTCTCTGGTGGCAGTGTACTACTGCGTCAAGAGAAATTATGTGGTTCATATCATTTTTTTTAATTCTTTACTATGCTGAGAAGTCGTTGACCTTTCTGTGGATATCTGTAAGGCGTTTCATAAACGAAACTTTTGTGAATGTCCACATGTTCTCTTTGAGTACAGTTTTTGCGCAACAACCTCTTTCTTTTTTTAAGGATCCTGCTTAACAAACAGGGATTATGTATTTTGACTGGTAGGTACTTGCAATGAAATTGTTTATAAGATGCTTAATCCTCTCAGATTATGCATTTCTGCTGACCATTTACAATCTTGCTGCTGCTATGTGGCATGTAACTTAACATAATTCAACACCCTAGGAGGTTTTGAAGGTTATCAGACTTATGCAAGATGCAGAAGGAAAGCTTCAACATAGAAGAGAGATGACTGTATTTGTTTGGGAGAAGTGTGTATTGCATTGATTGACTAGAGATAGAGAGATACAACTGTGACTATTTATTACAATTGATAACAGAATCACAACCAAAAACAACCCTGATAACAACCTGTTGACGCTGACTTCTTGATTGGGCTTTAACAGAATTCAACACCTTTACAGAATCCAATCTACTAGACAATTTTATGTAATCTAAGGGGTTTTGGAATGTAGTTGATGGATAATTTAAAGTTATATTTCATCTCATTTTGTGGAACTACAAGCAGTAACGTAGGTATTGGTAGTCTATTTATATTACTTCCTTATTAGCAATTAATATTCATATGTAATTTCTCTAAATGAAAATTTTCTCTTGTTAACTACTTTTTTTTCATATGTAATATCCTTGTTTTGCCATGTAATTTCCAATTTTGTAAGATACTTGATTAGCATATTTCAATTTGTTTTATTAAAATTTGTTTTTTTACAATCCGTTCTGTGTTAATCTTTCCTGAGCTATTAACTAGTGCAACCCATTCATATGCATTATAATTTATAAGGATAGTCAATCAAAATCAGTATAGATGGTGATTTCATTCACGGATGGTGGTTTAAATTTTTCAGTCACAGAATTTTTCTGATTTATTTTGAGCTACTATCTTAATTTGTTTTATAATTTCACCACAATAAATATCTTCTTTAAGATATTTGATTGCCTTTAGACAATTTAGTCTGCACAAAGGTTGTACCTAATTGAAAATAAGTTGAAAACATTTGATGCATGAAACCTTTCTAATGTTTTACCCATAGTAGTGAATCCCGAATAGCGGTGTATAGTGGCTGACCCCAAAAACGCTATAGCGGCATAGCAGATAGCAGAATGACTGCAATTTTGAAGTTCTAAGAATTATACCGAATATAAAATTAATATTCAAAACAGAGTAGGAAAATAAATATAGAGAAAGAAATAGAAAACATATAAGGAAATAAGAAAACAAAGAATTAGTGGGAAAATGTGCAGGATCGTTGAAAGTTTCATCAGAGATGTAGAAGATGACCGGAAATGTCGCGATCATGTTGGAAGCTTAACCGGAGTTGAAGAAGACAACCAAAGATGAATACAATTGGAATAGCGGCTGAGTTAGTGAAGATAACTGGAGAATGACTTTGTCGTGGTAGAAGCCTCACTGAAGATAAAGAAGGACATTGGAAGTAAGAGAATGTTGCAGAGAACAAAGATGGGGAAAAGCGAACTAGAGAGAACTGAGAGGAGAACTAAGAGATAAAAATGAAGACTTAGCGCTTGCGAGGAAGAAGATATTAGAAATGTAACAAGGAGCAAAATACCAAGATTACCCCCATTTAAAGTCATCCAACCTTAAGAAGTTTTGGCCAGGGATGAAATAGCAGCCATTGCGATTCACCCGCGATTTCGCTGCTATTTGCGGCACAATGGCTGCTCCATTGGTTTCAATGCTACAAGCTTTTCATAGCAGCGACTTGCCGTTGCTTTACTCCTCCGCTATAGTGGTTGCTATTGATTACTATGATTTTACCATAAGATAAAATTGAAAATAAAAATCTCAACCCTGGACTGAAGCTTTTTCATTTACTCTGGTTTTATTTTTTATACTCCAAATTTTTCTTCTTCAATGTGCCCACCCTTAATATGAATATGTTCTACTTTTTCACACTGAAACGTAAGATCTTCTTGATCTTGCAGATATTGCAGATGGGATGATAAAAAAGGGCATGACTGTTGAAGCAGTTGATTTAGCTTATACCTTTGGGTTTGAAGAGAAACTTTCTCATCAGACGGCACTGACTTCATTTCTACATAAATATGAAGAAACTTGGAAAAAGGCCAAAGAAGATGCACGTGATTGTTCGAATATGCAGGTATATTTTAATTGGGTAGCATCTTTTAAACTTTTAAACTTTGTTTCATTATCAATATTAATGTTGATCTTTCACAGCAGGAGGCAGATGAAAAATATTTAGCTGCTTTGACATCTGTGGTTAATTGTTTGGAACGTCACAAGATTGACTATATAAAACTTTTTCCTGGGTGGCAACTTAAGGACAAAATTACGGTCTTGAAGAAAGATATTAGTGATACCAATAAAAAAATTGAAGAGAAGTCGGTCCAGAAGAGAAAAGTTGATAAAAGCAATTCATCAAACAAAAAGAAAATTCCAGAGGTAAAACGAACGAGGTTCACTATGAAAGATCCCCCTATGGCATCACCTTCAGTCACCACTTTGAAAGAGCAAAGGATTGTTAGTCATATGGATGGAAATAGCTCATACGATGGTTTGTTGTCAGCACATTTGTTGGATAGTAGAACCTATGGCTACCCAACTAATTATCCCACTCTAGCACCTGTACAGATTGGATCTGTTTCAGGGTCTTTAACAGAAAGTTTTCTTAGAAATACAGCAGTAAATGAGGCTAATGTGCTTGGAGGAACTTTGGCTGGTTCATCTTCCGGTTATCAAGGTGATATGATAAGAGAGAATGTTGGGACAATGCTGAACAGGAACAGTCATGTGTATAAATGGCATGGAATAGGAGAAAGGGCATTATCTAAATCAGTTGGGCATAGTTTTGAGGGACATCCTACCTTGTATGGGAGAACATCTATAGAAAGTTTTGCAGGCTTTCCAGATCATCTCTCTATCGGTGCTACTAATACTAATCGCAGCGGTAGAGGTTCTGATTTGTATAGCTTTGCGGATGCTGTATTTGATGTCTAGTCTAGGGCAGTAAGTATTCTCCAAATTATTTAGTTTGATTAGCTAAAAGCAAACAAGTTGTACACTAATAAATTTCATTTCTCAAAAATTTGTGACAACAGATTTAGACAACAGTTTCAGTGGTTAGATTTTTTTTATTAAAACTTGGTTTTGAAGTAGTGGAGAAGGGAAATTTCTTTGTAACTGAGGCTGCTGGATTAATCTTGAGTTTTCAAATTTTATTTTTAAATAAAATTTGTTTTGAAAACAATACAATTATTAATTTTTATACTGTGGAAAACTTTATAAGAGTAATGCTCTGTTACTAATCTTAACAATTAATAATGATATTGATTAGAAAATTAAAAGTACTTTTTTTTATTCAAAATGTAAAGAAAACATTTATTTCTGTAATTTTTAGTGTACTTCAATATATTTTAAAAGTAATTATTATTTATTAATTTCTTAAAAAATGACAATTTTTTATTTATTTAATGAAAAAATATATGAACATAGTTCTAAAAATTTAGAGGGCCGTTTAGATTTCTTATAAAAAAATGATAATTTTTTTTTAATTACAGATTATTTATAATTTGTGTTTACAAATACTAGTTAAATAACATTAAATATATTTATTAAATGTTTTTAATTACTTAAAAAAGTATTAAATAATTTTTATATAATGAAAAAAGTATAAAAAAATTGTTTTTTATACCATAAGAATTACATGTTAAAAAAAAGTATTCATAAGAGTATATTTTAATACATGAATTTATTTTCTTATGTAACTTGTGATTGCTTGGTTAAATAAGAGAAAAAAAAAAACTTGTTATAGTATTTTTAAATTTGAGATAATATTGTATACTTTCTCTAAATTGAAGGTTGTTATTCTTTTAGTATTTTAGAAATTAAAATATATTTATGTTTTTTTAAATAAATTATTAACTTCATTATCTATTAATATAAAACTAATAGTTAGTATTGTTTTATGTGTAAGAGAGAATATAATATTTTCTCATTTTACAGAGCACCATAGAATTTGATAACAATGTTAATATTATATTTAAACTATAGTATTGTTATGTTATTACTAACTATACACCAGTAAAATTTAAAAAAAAAAATTGATTGCAATCATGTTTAAACCATGTAAGTTACCTGTATTTATTAAAAATTGAAATCATATTTTAAAGAAATTGTAAATTTTCAACAAATTTATAAGTATACTCTCACGAGAAATTTTAACATGTCAAGATATTTAATAATATAAAAAATTTAAATTAGTCTTAATTGGATTTATTTTATTTTCAAAATACCTTATTTGAATAAAGTAATTCAAATTTTATGTATTTTAAATTCTATATTTAGATAGATAGAACAATTCATTTTTTTTTCATTTTAATTTTTTATTTAGATAAAAAATTAATTATGATTGTATAAAAATTTAAAAAATTATTAAAAATTGAATTTTTTTTATGTTTAATTTTACAAAAAAATAAAAATAAAAATAAAAATTTCACATTATTTTATATGTTAAAATAATATTTATGAAAATAGAAGATTATCAACAATTATAGAGAATTTTAGAAACTTTAGCAAAATGTCTCTCTTTAAATGATGATTTTTTTTTTTGATATTTACTCGTCATAGTAACATGTCTTAGGTTAAGATTTTATAAACCATATTTTTTTATCTTTTTATTTTTCTTTCATGTGGATGCTTTTAAGGATAAAAAAATTACACACGACTCAACTCAACTAGGTGACTAACTCAAACAAATATTGAAGTAAAATGGTGGTAAATCTATGTGAAAAAATTCGTATATTATAATTTTTTTTTGATGATGTGAAGGTTAAGTTGTATATGTTATTAATGAGAGGTAATGACAATATAAGAGCATTAGTGGGTAGTGACTCTTGTGTCATAATAAATACTCATCGTTAAAAAGACCTATATTGAAAGGGTGGTAAAAAATAAAATTAGACAAAAAAATGTATATAATAAAAAAAAAGAAACAAGTGCTTAAAGAGAAATTTGTTAAAATGAAGCGAATAACATATAAGTGACAAGGATTTACAATTCAACCCAATAACTTTAAAGTTTTGGGTTGTAAAAGGAAAATAGGGTAGTGGCAAAGAAAACTCTAAGACAATAATTGAAGGAATTATTCTATTGTATATTTGATAGTCATATTTTAATACATCTTTTTCTCTATGCTTTCGATTTAATTGAGTCTTTTTAGTATATTATTTTGATGTGTTAGTTTAGATTTGTGTTGGTAAGTCATTTAGGATTTAAATTTAAATATTTCTTAATTCCTGCCATAAATTCTTGTTTTGACACAGTTTCTTGAAAAGACCATATCTGGAGCTACACTACTCGGAATTGGACAAAATTGGTGTCCCTGGAAAGATAAGAGAGAGATCTACAACTTCTATGTTGCGAGAAAAGCCCAGTTCGAACATCTTCAGGCACAAAACTGCGTCACAATGTTACGGTCCTGCAATGAATTTTTCAAAATTTGATTTTATTGTTGACATTACTTAATTAGGGTTTTAGGAACCTCGTTAGGAAGCTAGGCCTTAATTAAGCCCAATTATTTTGTCTTTAAATAGGGTTTATGATTTCGCGTGGGGATATTCTTCCCTCTTTTTTTGCCTTAATTTTCAGAATTTTAAATAAAAAGCTTTCGTAAGGATTCCTCTCGTCTCCTTCTCTTTTATTTTCGGAAACTTCATCCCCTTCTCTAATTGGTCGAGCAACATGATTACGAAGCAAGGCTAATTCATCAACCGGTTCAAGGTTTCAAAAACTACATTGCATTCGAATTTCAAAATAGGTTTTATCGAATTCCTCCTTTCCTTCCTCTTTTCTAATTAGGTTAATTACGTTTTTTTCATGATATGGAATTTTCGTTGCATCCTAAATAGAAAGAATAGGTTAATTTCAGATTTGAATTAATTGGATTCACCTAATTTAATCAATCATTTGTTCTAAATTTTGTTAAAGCATTGGGTTTGCGATTGCGGTTCTTGTTTTGATGGAATTCATAATTTAGATTTAGATTTTAGGGTTGTTGATGTGCATTGAATTAGTGTGATTGGAAATTCGTTAGGATCATATTTGTGTGAACGACGAGAATTGCATTGTAGGGATTGAGATCTTGAATTGGTTGAATTTCATAATCCTTAATTTTGTTTTTGTTATTTTGTCGTTTAAATTCAAAACAAATCCTCCCCCAATCTAATTTGAAATTGCATGATGGAACTAAAAATAAAATGCATTTTATGTCCTTAAGAGATGACCTAGGTTTGCTTCTTGTATTGCACAAATTTTTGAGAAAATCTAGCTTGTTTGATACCATTGCGACGTGATTATCAATATTGCTAAAAATATGAATACAACATATATACATAAAGTTGTGTCCTAAGGATAAGAACAAATGATGTGGCCTAAAAATAAGAATGAAAAGGTACAGAGAATAAAAATATCTTTATTTACAGCTCATAAATGTTTTAGAAACTACTAGAAAAGCTATTAGATGTTTACATTTTATTTCTATAATATATATGTATAAGGGCCAATTGAGTTGTACGAGCTAAATCAATCATGGGACAAATTGCGTTCTTCTGTTAGCCCACCACAAGTTGAAGGTAGGAAGATGTTTACTAGCAGCAAGTTGGATAAGTTGCAGTTAAATAATCTTAGAGGGAGAGCTTTTGTGAAAATATTAGCAAGCTAATGAGAGGAAGAAACAGAAAGTAAGCGCATCAAACTGACTCGAGACTTTTCACTAACAAGGTGACAATCCATCTCCAAATATTTCATTTGTTCGTGAAAGACTAGGTTGGCAATAATGTGCAAATCGATTTGATTATCATAGTATAAAACAACAAATTTAGAGCAAGTGATTTTTAAATCATTAAGCAATAGGTCAGTCATTGCAACTCACAAGTAGTAGATGCAAGGGTATGATATTTAGCTTCAGATGACAAATGAGAGACAATGTTTTGTTTCTTGATTTTTCATGAAATTAATGAACTTCTAAGAAAGAAACAATAGCTCATGATTAGACGACAGACTCTACACAAAGTGCCCAATCTGCATCAGTAAAACCAAGAATTTGAGTATAAGAATCTCTTCAGAAAATGAGTCCTTCTCGAGTGCAGCTCTTAAGATAGTGTAAGACTCTTTTGGCAGTGTTGAAACAAGTCTTGGTCAAACGAGCCATAAATTGGCTAAGTTGTTGTGTTGCAAACACAATATCTAGTTTGGTATTGGTTAGATACAATAGGCGACCAACCAAATGCCAATATGACAAAGGATCATCAAGCAATGGACTAGGATCATTGTGAAGATGCAAGGAACTATCCATCGGTGTGGATATCAGTTTGGAACCTAACATCCAAAGTCTGTAAGCAAATCTAGACAATATTTGCACTGGCATAGGGTGAGTCTTGTATATGAATGAGCAACTTCTATTTCCAAAAAATACTTCAATAAACCAAGATCCTTAATACAAAAATTAGAATGAAGGACATGTTTAATGTAAGCAATTTTTGTAGTAAAGTTTTCAAATAAGACGATGTTGTCAACATATATAATCAGAGTAGTGAATTCAACATCATGAGTCTTAATAAAAAAATTATGATCAGCTTCTGCTTAATGATAACTACAAGAAAGAAGAATGATAGATAATTTTTCATACCATTTACGGCTTGTTTGTTTCAAGTCGTACAAGGACTTCTTGATCTTGCAACATTTGGAAGGGATATGTCTAATAATTCCTAGACGGATGACCATATACACATCTTCTGAGATGTCTCCATGGAGAAACGTATTGTTAGCATCAAGTTGCAGGAGCTCCCAACGATTGGTTGAAACTAGAGTAAGAATGACTCATATTGTTGCCATCTTGATAATAGGGGAAAACATTTTTAAATAGTTTATCCCTTCAATATGAGAAAAACTCTTTTTATAGTGCTTAACAGTGCCATCAGGTATTCATTTGATTTTGTAAACCCATTCCCATTTGATGGGCTTGACATTAGGAGAAATATCCACAATAGTCTCATTTTCAGATTTCATTGCATTTGTCCAACATTGGTGTGAAGTAGCTTCCTGATAAGTGTGGTTCAACCTCAAAAGAAAGACTCATAAGGTAATGTTGGTGAGAATAAGAGATATTAAAGTAATTGACATATGACTGAATAGGATATAAGCACTTTGAGGATGATTAGTTGGACTCCATCGAGCAAGAATT